GGGTGCTTGGGGAAAGCTTGCATGTGACAGATGTTGCCGTCATTGCCACCCACCACCCCGTGCTGCTGCCGCTCTGTGTCCAGCTGCGTGCCTGCCCCCCATCCTGGTGTCCAGCTGCCGGGCGTACACTTATTAAAAAAGGTTAAAAGTCCCTGGTCTAAGGTATCACTCTGCCCTATTTTTTGCACAGCTAACCATCTCTCTCCAGACAGCAGACGCTTCTGGAGAAAGATTGTATTTTGTCAAAACTGTGATTTTCCAGCAACAACACTTCTAAAAGAATATTTTTAAAAGCTCCAATTCTTATGCTGCAAGTAGCATCTACTCCTTGTTCCTGTCAGTCAGGCTACTGGGCCAGATGGACTTGGTACGACTCAGTACAATACTTCTGTAGACTAAAAGATAAAAGATGAACAAGAATAGTCTGCTTAACTATTAGTAACTATAATAATGCCTCAAGGGCCATCTTGTACTGTGCAACATGCCAAAGTTTAGAGGAAGAGAGTTCCTGCCCTGAAGAACTTACAGCATGTGTAAACAAGACGACCAAAAGATGGGGAGTGGCAATGGGCAGAGACAGGCAGAGGGACTTGCTTAAGCTCTCATACTACACCAGGAAGAGAATCTCTAACTGATACCTCCTGCACTACCTTTACACTATGTACTTGTTACCCCCAGAACAAAGCTTTCCCATCTTCTAGTTTTTGAACTTCTAGATCCATAACCTCCACATTACAAGAAGTTTAAAAAAAATCATCATTCCATTATAAATGACATCCAAAGGACTCCATTAAGGTTTTGCAAACACTTTTAAGACGAGAGTCGGCGAGAGCCTGAACGCTCTATTTTTCTCTTCCTTGTGCTAATGTCAAAGCATTTGAGTATCTCAAAGCAACATCTACCATTACAAACCAAGAGACCAAGGCAGCATTTCCTGCATGCCCAGAATTCCTGCTTTCATCAGGAACAGTTTATGAGCAAGGATTAAATGACTGGGCTCCTTTTCTCCAGGTTGCCCCCTTCTCCAAGCACGAAGGATGGAATTTGGGTGGCTAAACATGATTTCCATTTCTGTGCATTTATTTCACACATCTCTTTCTGCTCATTTCAGACTTCATGTTTTGGGGGCAAACTAAGCAAAGAGCCACTGGAAAAAAGTGCTTTTTGTTACTATTGGCACGGTTTAGGCGTTAACCTGCTCTGTAGAAATGCAAACCTTCAACCACATTTTACAGTATGTAAATACTGTATTATTTAAGAAAATAAATGGCTAATTATTTGAACAAACTGAAATAGTTCAAACAATTAATTATACTCACATGCAAGATCTTCTGCAACAAACCCACCACATTTTTCCACTAGAGCTAGAGAACTCTGTAACTCTAAACAACATGCTCCCTATTAGTTTCAGGAGCCAGTCACAAGACACCCACTTCATGCATCTCATAATGCATCAGTCTGTTACAGCAGAATTGCCAAACATTTGTGCTTGACCCTTCCTAGCAGAAGGATCGTAGCTCTAAGAACAACTCTGAGCGTGCGTTGCACCTTAATTTTTGTAATGCTACTCTTCCACTGTTTTGAAATACGTTAAAAGAAAAATAATAATGCGGCCTGTAAAACAGGGTACATACTGCAACAAGAGGATTTTATCTCCACTGGAAAACTTAAGCATGCTAGCAGCGTCCTATGCTTCGAGCACAGATCTAGTACCAACAGACACCTTCATATATATTTTTCTTCCATAGAGAAGGTCACGGATCCCAGCAGACTCTATGGGCAGTTCTACATGTGCTGGTTGGGGGGCTTTAATCAGAGAGGCTCTGAGAGCTGCTCTAATTAAAGTGCCCAAAGCATGTCACATGCTGAAAAATACAGGTAGGTATTTAACTAAAGCTTGTCAAATGAACTTTAAAGTGCCCCCGCCGCCATTTTTCAGCGCAGGGATGCTGATAAACATGACACGGGAGGCTGCAAGAGCGTGGTAACTACCATGCTCCAGCAGACTCGATTCACTGAGTCTGCTCCAATGCGCTGTAATTACAGTGCGTGGAGCAGCCTCTCCACATGTATACAGATGCCCTATAAACTGCTCGGCAGTCTTTGAGAGATGTGGAACTGCTTGTAGATTGGGGTCCAAGCCAGTGACAGCTGACACCTCCCACATCACAGCATTACCTGGTACCTGTGTCACGTCCCAGGCTGAGGGGCACCACCCCAGAGGTGTTGCTGACTGGCAGGAGGTGCTGAACCGTTCGCGACAGGTCTAACCCCAAACCACTCAGTGCCACAGCAGCAAATACTGCGGGCACCCAAATGTGACACAATGCAGAACTGAAGACCACCTCCCAATAATCAGATTCTGGATGTGGAAAATGTATACATTTGTTGTTTTTCTGAGTCTAATTTTGGTTGAGGGCTGTCTTAAATTCCTTGTTAGTTTCTATGGCTAGAGTCTAAATTTGGGTGGTCATCTTAAATTCACCCCCCCCCAGGGGAAGCAGCAGTGGGGGCAGGGTGGGGCACAGCACTCCCATAGCCTGACCCCTGCCTTGTGCCACTGGCCCCTGCATATCCCAAAGTGGCCCGGAGATGCTCGCATGCCCTGCTGCCTGCCTCCCCCATCCCTTCCTGTGCCTGCTGGGCCCTGCTCTGGCTGAGGGCATGGGGCACGCCCCCCGCCCCCCATACCTAAAACAAGGGGCTTCCACAAATGCTAAACTCGTCATATACTCGAGTAAATACGGTATCCCGCGCTACCGCGGCACCCAGCCCCTCCCCGCTCAGGTGGCGCCCGGGTTCTACTGTATTTCCTCCCCCAGCCGCACGCCGCTCCCCGCGCTCACCAGGCAGCACCGCATCCGCCCGCGGGGGCCGGGCCGTTGCGCACAGGCTCCGCGCGGCGGCCGGAAGCGCTGGGCGCTCGCGAGCACAACCCCTCCCGCCAGTTCCGTCGAGGGAGGGCTCGCGGGCCCCTACGTCGCCGCAGCCGACGCACAACGGCGGCCACGCAGCCCACGGATGTGACGCACACAGCCTGGCAGCCGGGCGGAAGCAATTTCTTCCCGCTAGCAGGCAGCGGGTTTCCCCGCCCCGCTGGTCCGTTGTTGCGCAACGCTTCCCCAGCTGAGGGAAAGCAGATGCGGAAGAGGGGCGGGCTTTACTCCGCGCCCAATAGACAAGGCGAGAAACGCAACCGCGCCGCCAGGCGGTGAGTACCACAAAGCGGTATGTGGGGAGTGAAATATCACGAGAGTTGCCTACAGACCTGCTGCGCATGCGCGCTAGGGGGAGGAGTCCGGTGACCCTGCCTTGCGTCCTGTGACGTAGCGGCGCTGCAGTGACAGCAACCTCAAGTGAGGGCGGAGCAGGGCTGCCCCTTGGAGGATGAGTGCCTCAGAGGCCCAGCGTTGCCCGGTGTACCGTAATTATCGTATTTGTACTACAAAATAATAATTACGGTACACCTGGCAATATTTTGTACGATCATTTCAACCCTTGTGGGATGCACGATCAATAACAGTAAATTGTTCAAAAGTACGTATTTTCAAAATAAAATTTTCGAAATGAGTGTTCAAAATGTACAATAATAATAGTAAAAGTGTTCAAAATGTACGTATTAAGCGTTTAAAATGTAAGGGCCCGAAAGCTTGCTAAGAAGAATTTTTCCAACGATTTGAGTTGGTCTAATAAAAGATATCAGATTTACCCAAAGAACCTTGTCTGCAAAATGTGTGATTGTTTTTGAGGTAGCTCATTGATGCAGCACATACAAAACCCAAGTCCCTCTCAGAGAGCCATAACCAACATTTGAGTTTGCTGTCAGTACTCATTAAGATAGCTGGCCTCAAAATAAAGAAATGCGTCAATTTTTATGACCCAGTTCTCATTTATTCACTTCCAGTGACCAATATAAAGTAAGCAAGCAAAAGACTTATTTGTATATTTTTTCAGTGGGGGATAGGTTTTCAGCAAATAGGATAATTTTGAGCTTCCAATATGATCATTTCATATTTAAGACCTGGCAATGCTGGAGAGGCACAGGCTGTGCAAGCTGCAGGTCGCTGGGCTTGCAGGGAAGGATGGGGTGCCCCTCTCTGTTAGGGTAGCTTGTCACATTTATGTTTTAATTGCATCTGCTTGAGTGGTGAATTATAGTATTTATTTTCTTTTATACTTAGCCTCATTTTACCATTGCTTAAGTTTTGTATAGCCTTAGTATTTGATTTTTTTATTTTGCTTGTGCCTGTATTATCAACTGACCTTGAGTTGTTCTTGCAGGCACCTTATACCCTCTTGCAGGCAGCTTATGGACTTCAGTTTTGCTCACATACTGTTTCTTTCCTTTCCTATCACTGTGAGAAGTTTTTCTAACGTAACATAGTAATAGCCTTGTTACCAGCTCAAATTAACTGAAATTGGCACTAACCGGTGAATCAGAGGGATGAAATGATTGGGCATGTTAATGAAAGGTGATAAGAGAAAACCAATGGACAATGCACAGATTGGGACACCAGAAAAAGACAGTTCAAATTAAGAGGTGTGCTTGTGATGGGTCCGTTGAACAAAAGAATATGCTGACAGGATAAAATATGGAAACCAATCTGGAAGCAGAGTCATCAGGGGAGTGAAGCTGAAGAAAAGCATAAAGGTGGGCAGCAGGAAAGTTAAGTGTGTGTCAGCATAAATACAGCCTTCAACACCTGTCTGGACTGTCCCAGCCAGTGATGCACCCTTTGCTTTCAGGAACTGATTGACTACCTTTTCTGTTGAACAAAGTAACTTCTGGGATTGGGTGAGATCATTGTACCATGTGTTTTTCTCTCTATATAGAAACCGCTAAGATAACATTTGTTGTATCCATAAAGTCAGACTTTAGTTGAACTGATGTTTTCATATGTCATGTCCATTTAAGGGTTAATTGTGCTTTAATGATCCCTTAACACCAGTGGCCACCAACCGGGGGTCTTGATCCACCGGTAGATCTGAGACTGGGGTGGGGGCTGAGTGCCTGCATGTACGCACATGCGTGCCCCAGCCCAGCAGGTCAGTCCGTAGGGGAGGTAAGAGGTGGGGGATAGATGGAGGCCCCCGTGGTGAGGGTCAATGCCACAGAGGCAGAACCAGGGGTAAGTTGAGTGGGGCCCCAGCTGGGTGGGACTTACCTGCTGGGGAGGCAGGTGCACCCCCAAATCATTGTTTCTCCCTTTGCCTTGATCTGTCCCCCCTTCCCTCCCCACAGACTTACCTGCTGGGCGGGGGTGGGAAGATGTGGTGGCGGCACATGGTAGTTCTTGGGTTGCTTTTAAATGCCAAAGGTGATCTCCTGCTTAAAGGTTAGAGACCACTGCTTAACACTATCTGGTGGACAGAAGTGCTAACATCTCCCAGTGCCTCAGGCAGGCAGAAAGCTTTTGCTTACAAAAAGTTTGTGCCTCTCTGAAGGTGTGCAGTGATTCTCAGCTGGGGCCACCAGCACCCTGGCCCTGCTCCCAGGGCTTTTGAAGGGTGATATGCATGGGATAAACCCAGACCTTCCATGTAAGGATCCCCAGTATCAAAACACTGCTGGCCTCTCCAGTCTGGCTGAGATCCTGCTGCAGAACAGCTTTGCTGTTTCCCAAGCCCAGAAAAGAGCAAAAGTGAAGAGCTGGCATTTATCAAGGGCTGCCTCAAGTAGCAATGGTAATGGTTTAGAGCAGGGGGAAAACAAACATATGGGCAGCACAGGATCAGGCCAACTGCTAGCAAAGGTTAGACCAGAGTTTTATACCAACATGGAACGAGTCCCCATTGGGCCAGACCTTGACAGAGAAGTGTGGGTCTAGCTGAACAGACTGAGATTGGGATACGATCGTTTCAAAACACCACTTCACAAGATGAACCTTGTGGACAGCCCCCTGTGTGACTGCAGTGTCCAACAGACAGCACAGCACTTAATCAAAATGTGTAATCTTTACAAATGCCCAGACAGTGAAGAAGGAATCTGCACATTGAGCCATGATACCAGGCAATGGCTTGTAGATTTGGAAGTTGATATCTGATGGCATACGGAAAAGAGAACACAGGACAGCTCAAATGTTGGTGTTGTGGTCTGGATGAGTGGCATGGAGCTGATCTGTAGGCTAGATTTAACCCTGCTCACCAGGATTGGCCCTGCATTCCCTCCTTCAGCTCTGTACCCTTGGATCATGGCTGCATGCTGCCTCGCTTGGTCCCATACTGCCAGATTGAGGTTCCATGCTGCCCTGCTTGCCTTCACACTGCAGGATTAGGCCCTGTGCCATCTTCAGCCAGCCCCCATGTGTCCAGATCAGGCTCTGGGCCACCTCTGCATGCTGACTGAGCATGCTGTGCAGCCTCTGGGGCTCCCCACAGGTGTGGAAGTTTGGCGGCAGGGGAGGTGCATTCAGTGCCCACCTCTGCATGCTGACTGAGCATGCTGTGCAGCCTCTGGGGCTCCCCACAGGTGTGGAAGTTTGGCGGCAGGGGAGGGGCATTCAGTGCCTCCACTCCTCCACCACCAAATTTTGGTTCCCAGAATCATGGGGACCTTTGTAGTTTAGATGACAAGGCTGACAGGGGACAGATCTGGCCTGCAAACCAAAGGTTGAGCAACTCTAGTTTAGTTAGTCTAAGGTACAACTCTGTCCTGCTTTCTATTGGTCAGGTACAGTCAGCACAACAGTTAAGTGGACCCTCGAAGAGTGGTCATGTTACACAGATGGAGAACCAGGTCAGTCTGAATCTGGTTGTCAGTCAAACTTCCCTCCCTCTTGCACACAGAAAGTTGTGGGAAAGAACATTATCAAGGCTGCAAAATAAAATGTGAGAAGTTTGGTTATATAACTGTACAACATTCAATTTGCTTCTTTATTTGTGTGTATCATGACGCTGCCTTTAATCACACAATGACATACTATTTTGTTTTGCTCGCATGTGATGCTCAGCATGGGCAATGCTATGCAATATTTAGATTGATTTTCACTGTTCAATGTGTGATCCCAGCATTTACATGCTGCAAACCACTCAAATTCTGCTCTGAATGCAGAATTACTGATCTTTACATGGGCTCCTCTGATACTCATCCCTCACATTTTTCAATGCTTCACAAACATTAGCCAATAATGTAATGGCCTTTTATAGATGAGAAAACTTGGAGGCAGCAATCTGCTCATCAAAACCATACACTAATTTGATTAAAATTCCTATGGCTTAATTTTTTCCAGAGACCTTAGCATTTTATTTGTTGGAAGTCATGCTGACTTCAGTTGAAGCAGCAAGTTATCAGCACTTCTACAAATCAGAATTCAGTGTCTTAAGTCTCCCATCAGGAAGAACAGAGTTTATGACCACCTGTAAAAGCACAGGTAAAAAACCCGCCTTACTTTAAATGGGAACTCCATGGAAGAGACAGGAAAATAATCCAGCATGACAAGCAACTGCCTGAATAACAAGACTTTTTTTCTTTCTATAATCATCTCTTTCATACACTACAAGTCTTCCAACTTCTACATCAAATGAGACAGCAAATTAGAAACAACTTAACAAAAATACACTCTAATTCATTCCCTAATTGACTACTTACATTACCCATGATTTCAGCATCTAAAGAAAAATAGCCTGACTTTTCCCAAGAGGTGCTGAGCACCCCCACTTAACTGCAGTTGAAATCCTGGGCTCTCAGTGTCCTGATTTATTGGGTACAATTTTATTTAGAAAGCATTATTTAGGAAACACTAGCTATTTCATCCAAGGCGACCATCCTGCTATTGTTGGGAGACTGGACCTTTCATATTGTGTAGATTATTACATCTGATCAGGGAAATACAGCTCTAAAGTTTCTAAATTTGGTGTATAAAAATCTTATAAATCATAACAAGTATATGGAGGGGAATTTTTTTTGAATAATAAAAAGAATGTAATCTTAAGGCAAGATTTCAAGATATGCTTAGCACCTACAACTATAAAAGTCACTGAGAATTGTGAATCAAGTTTTCAGAAGACTAACTGACCTACAATCCAGGTAAAAGATCATTCCCTTTAATTCAGGGTTGTGAAATCAAAATTTGAATTAGCAAACTGAGCCAATAATTCACAAGTTCTTCTTATTTATTATCCATATGGACCTGTGTGTTTACCCCTCACTTTTTAAAAACAAGCATTTTAGAATTGTACTTTAAGCACGCAAGGAAATTATGCCTAGAAGACAAATGCAAAAATCACAGTCTCAAGACAGAATGAAATGAATAAAGCTGTGAAGCAGCGTACATATACCACAGGCTTTTTTCACAGCTGTGTCCCAGTTGGTTTATAATATTTCACAGCAAATATTTTAACGATTCTGCATTTATCAAGAAAGCTAAAATTCTACGATAAAATACATACAAATCAAATAGCTCCAGCATAGATGATCATTTTATATGAGGTGTTCTAATCATAGTATCTTTATTATAAAGGCATACAACAGTTTATAGAACACTATGTATGTATATGTGTGTATACACATACATACACACACATACATATGTATATTTTCATAAATGAGCATTTTACTGGGTGATATATTCAAGATTTTAAAAAATAAAACTGTATACAGTTCTAAAACCTAAGGGGTATAAAGACTACTGTTAAGAATATGAATCCTTCTCTGACTACAATGTATTATTTGACCTGTAAAAAGAAGAGACCATATCTTCCATAGTTTAAAAAATGGAGCAGCTACATTGTATGAAGACATTTTACAGTTTTCTGGTTACAGTAATTACAAGTATAAATTGGAATGATCAGCTTCTTGAGTGTTGTTAATGCTAGATGGCATATGTTCAGCTTTCTTCATGCTATTGATTTCTGGTTTGTAAAGTGTACCTTGGTCAACTGACCAGACTTCTGGTGCTGACTCTTCCCCCCTGCGGACCTCTGATAAGGTTTCTATTTTGGACCAGTTATGGTCTTTTTTGCTAGTAAGATCTATTAAGAAACTCCTCCAGTGGGCATTCCGGTCATGAACCTAAGAAGAAAAAACAAAACACTGTGGCTGAAAGGAAAAATTTCTGAACAGTCATGTAAAACACCTGAGGATTTACTTGATGAAACAAAAACAAATTCAAATGTGATTATAGTTTATTTTGATACTCCAATGCTGCAATGGCAACTACTGATCAAGCATTAGCTGGGCTTCAAAACAATGAATCTGTTTTACCCAGACTCTAGTGGTCTGGGCCCCTTGCCAGGATATGATGTTAGCAGAATGCAGGTGAATGCTAGACCTAAAAATGGACAATTGAGAAAAATCTGATTCTCTCGCAAAGAGAATACTGCAAAAACACAAATGTCATCCCTAGAGCTCTTGTTCAGTAGTCTAATTTATCACTTTGAGCTTCATATACTATCAAACACTCTGACAATATGCTGGGACCTCCAAGATGCTGGGAAGCACCATGCTATTTCCTATATCTGCAGTGTAAGGGTTCACCCACTTTCCAGGGCAACCGTGATTAAATAGATTACATATACTGGAATTGTCCTTTATAACACACTAACAAGGAAACACAAGAGCTCTCGCAAGTGCTTTCTTTCCTTTAAGTTCAATGTTTGCTTTTAAAGTAACCAACATCATTTAAAAATCACTGGTTTGATTGTCGGTACTGGGAACTGGTTTGTTGTATAGCATTTGTTGCTTGGCACTTCTCTTCCTTAAACTATCACTTCAGAAATACACGTTAAAAACCTGATGGTTGGAGAAAACAATTATGCTGGCAAAGCCGACCCTAGGGGTGTGCGGGGCCTGGGGCATATCAGCCTGTGTGGGGCCTGTGCGGAGTGGGCGGTGGTGAGCAGTCAGAGTGCAAAGCCGGCGGCATGTGGTAGCTGTGCAGAGTGGTGGTGCCCTCGGGGCCTGTACAACATTATCCATGGGACCCCCCCGAAGTGTGGGGCCCAGGGCGGTTGCCCCGATTTGCACCCCACCAGGGACAGCTCTGTATGTTGCTTTAAATTATCCAGGCTGACCGTATGTCTCACTGACACAATATAATCGTTTTGTCCATTTGCTCTATACTTGTGTAGGTGAAGCTAAATTGCTGTCACTGTGAATCTGTTTCATTCAGCTTCCTTCTGCATATAGGAGTAGATAGACAAAACAGTTATATCAGTTTAGCTAGCACATACTCCATAGTAATAAGTCCACCTACCTTTTAAAATAGTCTATTTTTACATATCCAAGCTAAAAAATGATTTCAGTTGTAGAACTGTATTCCCCCAAGCCCTCTTTAACTTCTAATTAAACCTCAGAACCACACTTCTCTTGCTGCAAAGGTAGCAAAGCAGCAACATACCGATACATGTCTCCTCAAGGTGGACATGTCTGTAAAGGTTCTCTCGCAAGCTCTACATTTGTATGGTTTTTCTCCAGTGTGAATCCGCTGGTGGCGCCTGAGAGCTCCTTGCTGAGTAAATGTTTTTCCACACTGTTCACAGAAATAGGGACGAGTCTCTGAAAACAAATGAAAAATCACAAACTTTGAAGACCAGTTCTTTCAGCTGTGATCCTTACGGACACAAAAGCACATGCTTAACTTTATTCATGTACTGGTAAGTGGTGCCAAGGGATGACTGCAGAACCCAGATATTTCACAGGTTTCAGTTCCTAACCCCCTGCAAAGATGAAGGTTTGGAAGTATCCAGCAGTATAAAGAGTTGTGTATGTGACATATGAAACTGCTGAGGTGCTACAGCTGGTTGCTCTGGCTTTTGTTTTAGAGGTACCACTTCAGCTGGGCAGCATCAAAGATGAGTTCCAGCCAAGTGGAGAGGTAGTACTTTTTGAACTGAAAGCCACAAAAATGGCTGAGCAGCTTGTCCTTAATTTAGTAACCTACTGTGAATTAAGCAGGATGCAAATCACTTGGATATGAATCTTAGTTCTACTATGTTCATGTGAACAAAGCCAGACTCAAGCATGTACCTGCAGGCAGGCGCCTAGGACAGTAGTTCCCTCAATTTAGTGGTGAACTTTTCTAGGCTCAGTGGTTGTGAAGAAAAGTTTGAAAATATGACCCAAGTGTAACTGATGCAGTGCTCTCTGTCTGAGTCTGCAAAGGGAATAGGAAATTTTATATTCAAGGAAGTAGCTACTTGCCTGAACATGCCTGATCAGCACGAGCTGGTCATCTTTAATTTATCCTCCCCACCACTGCCAGGGAGCTGGTGGTGTAGGGAGGTCAAGCAGCTTGCTCCATGCTTGCATCTGCCTCCTGGCCACCTCTGCCTCCCTGCAGCCTCCCCTTTCCCCTTCTACCTCTGCTCCCACTCAGCCTCTGTTCCCTGCTCCTCGCACCTTACCTTTGTTCTGCACTGGCAGGCTCCATCCCTGTTCTAGCTTGGGGCACTGATCACAGCCCCTGTCTGGCCCTGTAGCAGCCACGTAGCAGCCATGTGGACTGCATGCTACTGCTACAGGGCTGGGCTGGACCCTGCTACAGGACTGGGCTGTTCAGTGCCCCAAGCTAGAATGGGGACAGATTCTGCCAATGTGGAGCAAGGATAATGGGGGGTGGGGGCGAGAGGGGTGGAGGGGGCAGGTCGCGAACACCAGCTGCAGAGGGGAGATGGCAAGGTGCAGAGGCAGCAAGGAGAGCTGCAGATAAGGCCCCGAGGCACAGTAGCCCCTGGCCCCCACCATCACCCTCGTATTCAATTCTAAGACGAGGGGCTTTTTTTCCCTATGGGGGAAAGCTATCTTAGAATCAAGTAAATACAGTACTGTCCCTGCCCCAGTGATGCCCATGGAGAAGTGGCATTTGGACACATGCCTAGGGCTGCCAGCTAATTTAAACAGGCTTTGCAAGTTAGCCAGCTGAAGAGCAGGTGCGTGAGTGTTTGTTGGAGCAGAATCTTTTACAGGGAAGTCCCAAACAGTGCATCAAATTCACTTCTGATACATTTGGTTTAAAGCATTTCTCTTCTGTACACTGAATTCAACAGACAACTCCAGTGTGTTTGCTATTTCTAAAATACTGAGAGTGGATTCTCTCTCTGCATCACTCTTTTCCCTGTTTTTAGATGACTTAGCAGTTGCTGAATAAAGTTTAACAGCCCGTTGGCATATTACTTCTGATCCCAGCTTCCACCAATATTTGCTCTTGTCCTGCAAAAGCCATGGCTTTTTTGCTTCGTTACCTGCATGGACATTAACGTGTTGGGCTAACGAGGCTCTCAATCCAAATGTCTTCCCACAAACATTGCACTTGTATGGCTTGGCTCCCATATGGCATCGCTTGTGGCACTTCAAGTATTCATTGGTGGCAAAATGTTTCCCACATACATCACACTTAAACTGACGCTCTCCTAGAAAAAGGCAAAGGCATTCTGAATTCTCTTCATGCTGACATCTGTAACCTGTCTGGGTCCTGACAGACGTTAAATATATGGCACAACTGGCATGTTAATTGCACCATAAGAGTGTAATGGTGCTACACATTAAAGCCAATTCATGGCAAGATAATGTAGCAAATGAGCCACAAAGATGTTCTGCATTGTATTTTTGTAGCTTGTTTCTATCCTGGCTTAAACTGAATGTGTAGCATGTTGAGGCTGTCCCCACGTCAGGTCTGGACATCGAGATGATTGTTGATCCAGTATAGAGCAGCTCCAGATCCTGGACCTGGGAGTCCCCCCCCACCCAATCCTTGGAGGCAGATGGAGGTAGGGGTGTTGTGAGCCCAACATTGAAGACTGACTTCTCGATGTCAGGGTTACAGCACTCCAGATCTTTAAAATTTGGTGTTCAGTTTTTAAGTTCCTGGGGCACCTAGGAAAGGGACAGCTGGTGAGCCAGGAGCACTTAGCTACTTGTGCTCCATATTGTGGACCCAGTGCATGTGGAATTAAAAAAACAAAAAAGGAAAGGATGCGAGGCATGCCAGGTTGTGCAGTTTTGGAGATCTGGCATAAAATTCATCAAATCCCAATTGCACAAGTAAATTAACATCTTCCACAGACCTTTCAGGCCAAGTCTCAGGGTCCACAATTTTCCTGCTGCTGACTTCAACACAACTGATCCTTCCCTTATCTTGGATTATCTTAATACTTTGGCTCCCCTCTTTTCTCTGCGCTGACATGGGGAAGCACTCACTGCCAGTACAGGGAAGGTACCTGCTACTTCTCTCTGCATCTGCTGCTGCCTCTTCTCCCTGCACCAGCATGGAGAAGGCAACAGCTGCCGAAACCTCCCATCACCCAATGCCTCTGAAGCCCCATGTTGGCAAGCTGGATCAAAAGGCTCCTGGGGCTAAATCTGGCCTGTGGGCCATAGGTTGCCAACCCCTGCTCTATATCATAACCTTATCCCTTCACTTTCCCTTAGTCATTATTTCTATGCAGACAAATTCTGCATCCACTTCTATCCCCACCTCCTATTTTGCTGTTTTGCACCCTAGACCTGCCTTTCTAATACCTGTTTATTCAGGTACTTCTATGGTTCTCATTGTCTAAGCCTCCCCTATGAGTTACAGAAACTATGGTGCTCTTTCTGCCCCACTCCCTCCCACTGTCATGATTTGCAGCCAAGAGTTTCAGTTGATTTCTATGTGGGTTGATGGTACAGGGAAATGCAACTCCCTTTATAAGCCTGGTCTGCAGGATTTAATGCCTACCTGTATGCGTCCTCTTGTGGCTATTTAGTTTGCCTTTATCAACAAAACAAGCTCCACAGTCTTCACATACGTATGGCTTTTCTCCTGTATGGGACCTATATGCAGCAAACACACACACATGCACACACAATTATTGAGAAAACAGTTATACAGCGGGGTTTTGAAACACCATTTCATCTGAAATTCAGTGCCTGTGCTTTGCATATTATGCACAGTTTACTTCGATTTTTTTTCATGGATGTGACAGCATAAGTGAGTTCAGCTCAGCAAAGAAATGTTTTCATGCACACATATTACAGGAAAGGTACAGGAAGATTCAGACAGATTCTCTCAAATTTGGGCTGCAATGAATGACCTATCTGATGCTTGGATTTTCCTGCAAAAAGAACACAGCGGAAGTGAGAAAGTGCTTGGCAGGGGCAGTGATTTGTATCCAGAAATTAAGGCTCTCAGCTAAGTAGGTCAGCATAACTCCACTGACCTGAAGGAGCTCTGTTGAGTCATGCCAGCTAGAGATCTGACTCTTCTACTAGCTTCAAGGAAGCCAAGATGTGTAAAGTATTCCTCTGGCTGTTCCTTTTTCTTCTCTCCCAGTTCCTTCAATAGCAGAACTAGCTGAAAAAACTTTACGGCCAAAAGGAACAGCAACCTGTTCAAATGATTATACATACTGTTCAGTTCTGGTTGCTGGATAGGCCAAGGGCTGAAGTCCATACCCTACTCCTCAGGATAAAACCAAGACTGGTAAACTCTGTGGGTGTCTATATGTATACGCTTGCTCCAGTCCATCAGGAAATGGATAAAGCCAAAGTTATATTAAATCAAAGGGCATCTTGCCCATTCCAGCAGGGTGAACAAGGATAGAGAAGAAAGAATACTAGTTAGTGCAGGTGATCATTCATACAGCTCATATACGTTTACATACAAATACTACTGCTGCAGAGTCACCATATTTTTGGTCCTCATCCCCTGAAGTCTGACAGGTACACTAGGCCAGGCCCCTAGGTGATATAAACTTGGAAAAGTTCTGTAAGCTAGCAGAGCTGTGGACATCAATGCTATAGATGATGTGGCCTGTTGAGTCCAGTCACAATACTGACCCTTCAAAAATTCCACTTTAGTATTATGAGGAAGGCAAGGATTTGTGTGTATGATTATCTTTTATTTAACCAACTGCATGGTTGAGATAGACTTAGACAAGATTTCAAATGTGAAGCAGTCTTCATTGGAGACTTGATGCTGTTTGCGGGATGTGCAGTTTAGGAATGAAAAGATTTGATGAAGTATGCATCGCATTTGAATGCTTGTTTAAGTCTATCCCAACCATGCAGTTGGGATCACCCACATAAGTCCCTGCCTCTCACGTAATTCCTGGAACATCATGGTTACTACATCACTCCATCACTACTAAAACACTTTAATATTAGTGATCTTGGTTCCTATTAACAGTGCTACTCCTCCTCTGGTTAGACCTAGAAAGAGTACCATTTTCCTTTCCTTTGAAGGCTATCACTCATGGTTCAAACAGTGAAAGATGGATTGTATTTAAAAAGAAAAATTGGTGGAGGGAACACAGAAGTGTCTTCAGTCCTCCATCTTGCGGCAGATCCCTCAAGGCTGCTGCTATGTACCTTGGGCCTCATTCTCAGCTGCTTTTGTCAGCTGAGGGTCTGGTCTGTGGTCCTTAATTCAGGACAACATTCCCATATTTAAAGGGAGAGGACAGGAAGAAAAGTCACGCAAGCTGGGCTTCAAAAAATGTTATGTTGAGGATCTGGGTTTAAACTGGCTAAGACATTAGCTATTCAGACATCTGGGCCATCAGTCCCCAGGATGAAAATATTTCCCTAGTTTCAAAACAGAATACCCCATTTTCTAGCATGCTTAGCTGACTCTGAGCTCCAGTTTGAGCTGGGCATGCTGGAGATTGGGCGTGTGTTAGTATGGAAAATCCAGGGTGGGCCAGAGACGAGAAGAGGGGGGAGTGAAATGGTCTCATTTTAAATAACAGTCCTGGGTGTCCCAATGAAAATGAGACCAATGCATTTATTTGACCAAACTGATGTGGCACACAAGACATATGTTTTAAACAGCACTGTCATGGCAAATGTGGGACATATGGTCACTCCATCCATAACTCAGTGCTCAGCTTCCACATTCTACTTTACAGCTTCTGACCCATGCACGATCACGTGCAGTATGGGGATGTCAGTCAAAATGTTGCATCTCAAGAAGAAGCTGCTATGCAAAACAACCCCCTAGCTTTGCTGGCATCGCTTCTGATTGAGGGTCAGATCTTAATCTGGTATCCATCAAAATAGAGCTAATGCACTTCCTATCTAAATATCTCAGAGATTTGTCACTGTAGAACCTGACCACCATATACTTTTTTGTATGTACTTATCCTCACAGAGACCCCTGCATGGAAGGGAAGAGCTATTTGTCCTCAGTCTATAGGGTCACAGAGTCACTACATGACTTGCCCAAGGCCATGCAGGAAGCCTGTAGCAAGGCAGGTCTCTGAAGTCCTAGACAAATGTCTCAACCAGTATGGCCATCTTCTTTATGCTCTTTATATCAGATGAGACTCTGCCCCTTAATCTTACTGTAATTTGTATTTCAAACATTTTCTTTCACATCAGTGTATGGGTAAGCCTTAGTCCTTCCCAAGAATGACTTCATGACCTAGAAACATACCAGAAACTTTTCATTAAACAAAATAACTAACCCTTGAGACTGATCAATAGTTGAGACCAGGGCTATCCAGTTGGTGGCCCACAAGTGGTTAGCATATGGCCCACGGGCCCCTCAGCCATCTCTCCCTTCGCTGAGTGGCAGGGAAGGGTCGGGTGAGGGGGAAAGAGGGAGTTGGAACATGCCACTGGCACTGCCTGTGCAAGAGGGAGCTATGTGCCACCCATGCCATGTGCCACTTGTGCTGGCCTCATGGGGCAGGCTGCACAGCAGGGAAGAAGGTTCCAGGGGGCCAGGTGCCAGCGGTGCTACCCATATGGTGATAGTGGTGGTGGATCCTGGGGGCCCACCTCTGCAGCATATGGCCAGTGTGGTGTGTGGCCCCAGGGCCACATACAGACACCACATGCAGTCCTCAGCCACAATGAAATTGGACAATCCAGTCCAGATGATTATGCTAAATTCCAGCCTTCCTATTGGGTGACTACTGCAGAGTACTGATAGGGAGTGGGAGGGGAATGGGAAGGCATGCTGTAGAAGGCTAAGCATGCAGAATAAGGGGAAAATGTTTCTGGAGGCTGACCTGGTATGGATTTTAAGCTGGGAGGGCTGAGCAAACTTGTTATGACAAACGCTGCATTCGTATGGTTTCTCCCCTGTGTGTGTCCGCATGTGAAACATCAGCGCTGTTCGTGAGCTCAAGATCTTCCCACAGACAGAACAGAGAGGGCGCTTGACTCTGCCTTCATGTTTCCGCATGTAATGTGTCCTCACATCTCTTTTTCTTTTAAAGGTAGCATCGCAGAGGGTGCAAGCAAACTGCCTTTCTTCAGTGTGGACACAGGCTCTGTGCTCTTTCCAGCTGTTGTAGCTAGCAAATGACTTGCTACAGATATCGCACTGATAGACTTTGCCAGGCAAGGATTGATGGACTTCTTTGCAGTGATCTACATATTTTTTTCGAGAAACAAACTGCTCAGCACATTTATCACATGTTATAACATAGGCAGACTTCTTTCCTACCCTGCCTTTTTTAGCCTTCTTTATTTTCAAGTCTTCATCTGAATCATTCTCTTCACCTTCATTACTATTAGAGTAGTCGTCATCGTCGTCATCATCATCAACACCACCATCATCATTACAGACATACTCATTATCTTTACTGTCCTCTAGTTCAGAATAACCCGCATCTTCTCCCTTCACACTTGTTTCTTCTTCATCTTCATCATCATCTTCATTTCCTTCTTCCCCATTTGCTTCATCTTCCCCATATTTGTCTATCTTTTCTTTCCCTTCATTGCTGCAGTCTACTTCTGCATTATAGGAGCTGCCAGGTTCTTCTTCAGTGCCCATAGCTGCTTTGCTCCCAGCACCTTTTTGCAATCCAGTAACCGACTCCCCATCCCAAGTTTCTTCATTAACATCCATTGCACAGTCTGTTGCTTCTGGTCTAACTGTAGGTGGAACGACCGTCCAGTAGATTGGTGTATGCTTCCTGTCTTGCCCAGACTCATGTATTTTCCTGTTAAAAACACAACACAACTATAATAGAATTCAAACACTCAAATTTCTACATGAGCATGTGAATGAAAAGTATTTACTCTTATCCTTTTTAATGGTTCTTTATGTTATTTAACAATCCGGTAGAACATTTTGAGTGCAAGGCAGCAAAGAAACACTGCATCAGGGTGAGACCATGAAAACTATTTACTGTCCTACATCTGTAAAAGTGTAACTTAAAATCAATGGGTTTCTCTGACTGCAATGCTAATGATGAAATTTACACTGAGAGACTGGCAGAGAAAAGACTCTGGACAGAAATTTAAGATAAAAAGATCATTAAGATGACACTCGCACTAAAGCATACATGTACATCATCTGATTACATTACTGTCTTGCATATCACACAACCCTAAATAAGCTACAAACCTTGTTTTTGAGAAGGCAGAATGAAGAAAAAGGGTTTTTTTGTAGAGTTATGGCTGCAAAGAGCAGGGACAGAGCCTAATCTTCAGTTCAATCACTCTCCCGTTCCTCCTTAGGAAAAAGTTACAGTTCTAAACCTTTCACAGCTGAACTGTTGCCAGCTCTTGGCAGTTCAGCCAAAAGCTGAAACTGTAGCTGCTGCTGAAGACTAGATTCCAGGAGCAGTTCTGGGATTTTGAAAGAGTAGGGCTGTGAAATAGAAGGAAGACCAGGAATAGCTAACAGCCAAATTGCCAAAGAAAGGATAGTTTGATTACCAGAACATCAAGAATGTTAAGAGAGGGAGTGGGTCATTAACATCTGCTGAGCAAAGAGATTAGCAGGAATTCAGGTAGATTATAACTAGCCATGAAGTCAACTAACTCTCTCAGGCCTGCATGAATAGAAATACCACTGGTCCTGCAGGGCAGTTGTTTTTAAACTTTAGGTGGAACAGGAATAAAAAAGGAGTGTGACTGTACCACTGTACCCCCAGACCTGCCCCAGGTGGACTCCCTCTGCCACTCCTTCCATGCAGCTGGTGGAGGAGAAGAAAAAGAAGCATCAGTCATTTTACAGCACCTCCATGCTTCTATTCAGGGCAGTTTCCCTGATTAAGACATGTACTCCAATTTTGGAAGGCTATTTTTTGGGGAAACTGTGCGTGTGTGGTATGCAAATAAATATGGTAATATCATGCGTCAGACTGTAAATACAGTAGGGCTGTGTGAAGCTTTGGGTGGTGATTCGATTCGGAGGAGATTCGGCCTGATTCGGTGGCCGAATCTCCGAATCTGAATAGAATTAGGGAACCAATTTAAAGGTCCGAATTGATTCAAAGCTCTCTGAATCTTTGGCAAAGATTCAGAGGGCTTTGATGATTCAGGCAGCCCCCAGTAGCTGCAGCAGGGAGCTGCAGCGGCTGCAGCCACTCCAAGCTGGTAAGTACTAGGGGCAGGGGAGGAGGTGTGGGGGAGGGGAGAGAAAACCATGGGGAGACCCCTGCC